GGGAAAGAGCCTGCTTGTTATATTATGGGGTGTGTGGCATGTGAGGAATTATGGTACTTTAGGTGGGACCTAGATCTGTGGATCACTGAAGCCTTGACTTTTGCTTTAAGTGGTAGAAACAGCTCTTACTATATTTCCGGGTGTATAATATATGCTGTAATTATCAGCACCTATTTTTGGGGGGGTGGGGTAAGGGGAAAGGTCCATGGTGTATGCAGGTTTCACATTAAAGACTCAAGAGGTGGGGTCTGCAAAAAAAATAGGCTAGGGTCAGGGCTGTGTGCATGGGTCCTTGCCAGTACTGCGGGGCTGAGGCCAGTGGTGGTGGCAGCTGGAAGGAGCTGCTTCCACCGCCTGGGCTGATTAGAAAGCGTGGGATGAGCCAGGGGCTGTGCACAGTGGCACATGGGCTCCAGGCTGTTGCAGGGGAGGGGGGAAGGGGCTCTGAGCAGCTCACACTGGTTCTCATCTCTTATGGGGGGGCTCAGCCCCCCTCTCCCTCCGAGCTCCCCCGTAATTTGGACCTTGGTTGTATGGGATAAAAATGGTAGATCATTTCTCCCCCTTGGAGCCTGCTATCCAATCAGCAGTGATGGAGCGCTCAGCATCAATCAGGAGCAACTCCTTTTGGGGTCTGTGGGGCTCTGGCCCAAAGTGGGGTAAAGGAAGAGTCGCTGATTATGTCTTCATCAGCGACTTGGACGAGGGAGTGAAATGTACTCTGTCCAAGTTTGCGGATGACACAAAGCTATGGGGAGAAGTGGACACGCCGGAGGGAAGGAAACAACTGCAAGCACACCTGGACAGGTTGGACAAGTGGGCAGAAAACAACAGAATGCAGTTCAACAAGGAGAAATGCAAAGTGCTGCACCTAGGGAGGAAAAATGTCCAGCACACCTACAGCCTAGGGAATAACCTGCTGGGTGGCACGGAAGTGGAAAGGGATCTTGGAGTCCTAGTGGACTCCAAGATGAACATGAGTCGGCAGTGTGACGAAACCATCAGAAAAGCCAATGGCACTTTATCGTGCATCAACAGATGCATGACGAATAGATCTAAGGAGGTGATACTTCCCCTCTATCGGGCGCTGGTCAGACCACAGTT